AAAGGTATGGCTAGTAGAGATCTTTTTTTTTTTTTTTTACAGCCAGATAACAAAAATGTTTACTTCAGTTAAAGAATAAACTGTTAACTTCAAAGAAAACATTTAATTTAATTTAATTTCATTCATAAAATGACAATTTGTGCTGTTTGACAAAAGGGGAAAAAACAACAAACCAATGTTATTACTGCATATGCTTCTCAGAATATAAAATTAGTTAAAAGTTGTGTTTTACTATAACAAATGAAACATAAATTCAAAAAATTATGTCTAAATATGTTTTTTTTAAACAAAATTTATTTAGCCTAGTTCATATACAGTACTGCTCAATGTAAGCTACACTCTAAAAAATGCTGGGTTAAATACAACCCAGTGCTGGGTAAAATAGGGACAAACCCAGCAATTGGGTTGTTTTGACCCAGCGGTTGGGTTGCTACCCAGAAGGTTGGGTTAAACAACCCAATTGCTGGGTTTGTCCCTATTTTACCCAGCACTGGGTTGTATTTAACCCAGCATTTTTTAGAGTGTACTGCAACATTAATATCTAAGAATGATCTGATTGTGAGTTTATTTAGCTATTTATTGACATGATTAATTAATAATTAATTAACAGTAAAAATAAAAAACATTGTTAAAAATTAACAATTAATAACGTGACCATAAATTAATAGGAAGAGGCGTATGTTCAACTTGACATCTATACAATGACGCCTTCTTCATAATGCGTTGGCCAATCGCCTGCACACCCTACAACAATCTTTCGAGTGTACTTGTGTCCTCTGTATTCATATTCGGGGTGTCTCTCCCCTCTGATTAATGTATACATACAGGAAATGGCTTGTTGCTCATATACAAGTCTCTGTTTTCTGGGAGCCGAGTACCTCCTCCAGTACAAACTGCTTTAACTTGGTTGTTATTTGCTAGTGAAGGTGTGGACTTCTTTGCAGCTGTTGTCATTTTGGGATCCCGTGATGTACAGATCTCACTGTCACATCTCTGCACATTCATGGCTCCAAACTCATGCTGCCTGATGAATTTCTTATAACGAATGAAATTCTTATAATTTCTTATTAAGCTGCTTTACTTCTTCTGTTTGACCATAAGTCGACAGTGAGGCACACAGGACCAGTAGCAGAATCACGGTGTGATGAATCCCCATGACCTGGTCAGCAAAACATAAACCATAAAAAAAGTGTTGTTGTTTTTTGGAGATTAATGAAGAAAATCATTTTGACGACATACCTTGCTCTTCTTGACAAAGCAATATTTTGTTCCACCAGCTGTCTTCTTCTGTCTATAAGCTGTAAGAGAATCAAAAGCAGGTAACTAACAAATCGTGAAAACAATAGCACATGAAAAAGGTTCTAAAAACTCTGCTGTAATATTACTAACCAGCTGCAGTTGAGACTTTATTGCTGTTAGTAATGCTGCTGTTTTTTTTATCATAAACCCCACAAAGACCTAAACATGTAACCTGATTAACAGTTAATGTTTAACAAGTACTCAAACTAGAAGAAATCAATAAAAACGTCTCTTTGATTTTTGCAGTATTACACAGTGGGTGTATAATGTATTTTATGTTGCTTATGCTTCATGGCCAAACACATTGCAAGCTTTACAAAAGGACATAAAATACAATAGGCTAATCTAGTATTTATATGTACGACATTTATTGATCTAAGTTAATGTTAATTCATAATTAACCCATTCATTCAGTGTTTTGAACATTATTGATAGGCCACCTCTTTTGATATTAGCAACTTAAAAGGAAGAAATACCAGTGTACAAACAGAGAATTATTCATTAAAACATGAAAAGTCTCACATTGTTGGGCATCTGAAGTCTGTTTTCCAAGGCTTATTTTAGTATATGTGGTGTTCAGGGGTGCAGAGTCCAGACATCATAGGTTTAAATATTTGCAATGCCAGGTATCTGTCGATGGCACGGCTTCAAAATAAACAAGTGACTCTATAGCCTTTCCCTGACAATGATTGTAAGGATTTAAAATGTGATTCCTAATCAAAATGTCAAATTCATCTATATGCAAAGAAACAAAAATCTCAAAGAGAGCGGAGATAAAACTTTTCAGATCCAGTTTGCTTATTTTCAGTTACTCTTCTGCACCAGTATACCATCATTGAGGTTGTTTGTTCTGGTTGTCAAAGTGCATATGCTTAGACATATAATGCAATGGTGCTTCAAACGACCCAAGTTCGAGTCCCTCCAAAATACCATTTTAATGTACATTAACTAGCACAGAAAAGGAGAAGACATCAGTCAGATGCTTGAGATGACCACCAGAAACTAGCCTATCTATAAGCACATAGTTACGTATATATATATATACAGATACCAGGAAGTTCTAATTTCAATATCTGATATTTCAGGAAAATCTTACTCGATTATGATTTGATTAAAAGGCACGTTTGTAGTACACATAAAAAAAAAAGTAATCCATTGTGCACATAAATTATTCAGTTCAAGCAGCTGACTGACACCGTCCTCTAATCCTCCAATCAAATCATTTCAATCCTTTCGACAATTACGATCCCCTAAAATCTAGAGTATGATGAAAACCATAGAGGGCTGTAACTGGGAATTTTTCATAAATTGGCTCAGGGTTTGAGCAACTTATCTCAGACATGAAGCACCTAACTGGGCCTCTGATAAAACTGCCTGCTACAAATGTGGAGAGACACAGAAAACTGAACACAGCCTGAGGAGAGGTCACCTCATAACATCAATAACAACACTGGCAATATAAGCAAATGTAGTAACACCTTTGAAGATTAATGCTATCAAAGAATGAACAGGATTTTGCCAGATTTTCATCTATCATCCTCCGACATACTTAGTTCTTTGTTCTTCTTATCCCATTTTATTTATGTATTTATTTATTTATTTGCACTGGAATGAGTACAGGAAAATAAATTAACCTGGGAGAAAATTACATTCTGACCTTTTTTTTAAATCTTTGATAGTACACATTTAGAAGGCTTTCTCAGAAATCCATATATGTCATGTACCATTCTTAAATGTAGATTTGTCAAAGAAAAGTATAAATACATCCATACATTTTAAAGAAAAGGCAGAATTTGGTTCAGTAATGAAAATGGTAATTGAGTTCCTGAATGCAAAAAAAAAATAAAAAATTATATATATATATATATATATATAGACAGGCATACTTATTCATACATTAACTCATTGATATTTTAAAGTTTTATTTTATTTTATTTTTATTTTTTAAGTACTTCATATAATAACCTACTTGCCTCCACTTGCCTTTTTTTTAAAAGTATGATGAGATGCTCCTGTCTGGGACCAAATTATGTCTCGCACCAAATGTATTTACAGATTGAGAAACATGATTGGAACACCGCTCAAATAATCATCTTGAGAAACAGGAACACATTTCTCGTGCCTGTGTGAACACTTCAATCCACAGCTCAAGTCAGCGAAAAGTGATTACGCCATTACTGCATCTGCATCTGTGAACATCATGTAAATGTATAGCATCAATCTGCATGCTCAGACAAGACCCTTTTCCCCATCTCACAAGACATCCAGTCAGCCCGTTGAAATGTAACCTCTCACTTCATTTGACCAACTGCTTAAAACCAATTATAAATGAAAGCCAGTGATGTCTGGTTCTGGATGCTGAGATGAGTTCCATTTGATGAGAACGAGAGGAGACGATGAGGAGTGGCAGCTGTGGGATTTTGGCCCGGTGACACAGTAAGGCGGACGGGTTGAGACACATTATTCAGAATCCTCTGTGACAAACAAAATGAAGCACAAGATGAGATTCAATCCCTCTGCTTTCCGCTCTGTGACGGGAGGTTTGCCCTGTAATTTGAATGACATCAGCCCTTCAGAAAGATCATCACACAAATTTAGGATTACTGGTTTCTTGAAAGTGAGAGTGCCATTGTTATTGCATACTATTTAGAAATATCATAGATAAGAAATATCATAGAATAAAGCAAACCAGTCAACCTAAAAATAAAATATTATTACAGTTGGTCTAGGACAAAGCTTTTCAATATTTTAGACCCCAAATATCATCCTCATCCCCTCTGAACCCCATTCCAAGACATAAAAGTCACATATTTTATGTATAAAGACCTAATTTATACTCTGAAAACTTAATATTATAAATGTGGAAAATATTTAGTTTCTTTTGTTACATTATGTTTTTTTTTCTATTCACTGCAATACTGTACCTTTAGATGTATTATTTATTTATTTATTTATGTATTTATTTATTTATTTATCAAATGCTTTGTTTATTTCTATCTTTTTATTTGTTTAGTTTAATCTTATTATTACTTTGTTTTTTATGATTTATTTT